GACTCGATGGCACCAAACAACAATCCATTTATCAATTTTTTAGGAGACATATGACTTTGAGCTCAACACTTAAATCTCTCTACTTCCTAATTCTTGTAACTGTAAAACTAGACTGTAAAACAATAGAGACAGTATTGACGAGTGTACGAAGGGGAAGCTCCCAACATAATTATTCACTGAAGTTCTAAACTGGAAGCAACTTAGATGATTCAAGCATCTCAAACTTACACATTCAAAAGTGGCTGGAAGTTCAAGTTCACCTAGATTTGCCGCGGAAGAAAGGCCTGACCATCTGCTTCCAAAAACTAAGGCGTTGAAAGTCCTATGGAGCACAGTTTTACTCTGACAGTCTGGGGATGTCATGAGTTAGGGTGAATTCAGTCATCTTATATGCAAATTAGAGAGTTCCTCTACAATTCTTTCAGAGCAATCTGTTTTGTTTTGAACTTTGGGGTAGAACTCCTCACCATTTGTAACATACAGCTAGCAGCGTATCTGTTCATCCTTTACTGAGAACTTCCTGCATGCCATAAGGATCTCTATTACACTGCAATAGACACAGCATTGCAATAGACACCAATTGCGTGTTTCATAGGTGAGGGAACTTAAACTCTCACAGGATGAGTTCAACTGAAGTCCTCCGACTCCATGGTCTGTGTACTGCGACCCCCACACACACACACATACCCTGAGCCGTCCACCAAGCGTGTTATCTGCTATACAATGCAGCTATTATCATTTATGAGGAAGATAAAGCTTACACCAATGAAGATTACTGAGCAAAACCATCCCCACACTTTTACTGTAGACTGTTTGCCTTCTGAACCACATTTGTTGTTGTTGCCGAATCAGTTCTGACTCGTAACGACCCTGTAGTATAGGGTTTCTAAGGAGTGGCTGATGAGTTTGAACCACCAACCTTGTGGTTCAAATTGGCCTTGTAGTCCAGTGCTTATTCCATAGCGCCACACCAGGACTCCAAAAAAAACCCCATTACACCTTGTTAAAATGCATCTTGTTACAAGGGCAGTTTGGGAGATAAGATCTATACAAATGAAAACTGAAAACAAGGCCAATGATTTTCCTATAAGCATTCACTAGCACTCTACAGTCTGTAACAGGATCATTTTATTACACAGTTTCACTACACTATCTCGTATCTAAAATAACTGGTACATTTTATATTAATTATGACGCTGTGGGTTAATGCGCAGACTGCAAAGCCGTTTGAACTGCAAGGTCCGCAGTTCAAGCTCACCAGCTGCGCCTCAGAAACCCTATACAGAAACTCTATAATGGGTCAGAACCGACTCGACGGCACTTTACAACAACAACAATACATAACTACACCTCCACACGAGTTTATGAAGATTTAAGAAACAAAGCTCTTCATCTTAGGAAAATGTTACAGAATTATAAGCACCAATGTTTTAAAGGAATGGAATCTCTTAGACTGACTTCCCCGTACGTAATTCAGTGGAATTAAGTTCCAATACTAGAAACTCTACGTTGTTGTTAAGTGCCACCAAGTGGGTCCTGACTTATAGTGACCCTGTTTCCAAGGAGCGGCTGGGGAGTTTGAACCGCCGACCATTCCATCCAGCGCTTATCCTACAGCGCCACACCAGGGCTCCATAAACTGTATGTTGTTGTTAATGCCATCGAGCCGGTTCCGACCCACAGCGACCCTGTATAGGGTATCTGCGGAGCGGCTGGTGAGCTTGAACCGCCGACCTTGAGGTTCACGTTGCAGCCCAGCGCGTTAACCCACAGCGCCACTCCAGGATGAGAAGCTTTTTAAAAGGTCGTTTTCTCTCGGTACTAGGAAACGCTTGAGGGAGTCCCGGTGTGGCGCTGTGATATAAGCACTGGACCCGCAAGATCAGCAGTTCAAACTCACCAGGCGCTCCTCAGAAACCCCAAACAGGGTCTCTATGTGTAGTACTAACAGGAAAGGCTGACAAAAGTCATAGCCAAAACAAATGCTGCCCAGCCTCAGGTGGCCAAGCAAAGACATCATTTACAGTTTGGCAGCAAAGAGCTCACTGGCAGGGGTTTCAGATTGGGGGTCCGGGGGGCGACCGCACGCCAAGGGAGGGAAGGAAGGCCTCCGCGATCGCAGAGACCTGAGGCCCGCTTGGGCCGGGGTCCCACTCCCCGCGACCCAGCCAGCTTCCACAACACTACCCGGGGCAGCCCCGCCAGGGGTCGGGCCGGAAAACCCGGCCACGTGAGCCACCCGGCACCGCGGGTGGCCTCACTCACCTCAGTGCTGGCGGAGCTAGGGAGGGGGAGGGCGCCGGGAGCCGGGCGCCGGGCGCCAGGCGGGGAGGGGCGATGGCGGGGCGGGGCGGGGCGCTGGGCCGGCCAGGGCGGGACCTGCAACAGAAGGAGTTCGCGAAGAGGACGAAACGTCGCGATAACTGTTCCTTGGTCTCACGGATTCATGATAGGTGGAACGAAAAGCACGTTTCCAGTGACATATTCCTATTGGCGGAAACATATTCCTATTGGACTTCCTCCAAACTTGCCCGCCCTCTAATTTGCTTCCGGCTCCGGCTGGGACTGGGCTAGTTTTTCAGGGGTTAATTTAACTTTCTGCTACGCCAGGTTCCCATAGCAATGAAGCTGTTTTTCACGCACACGTGGAATTTAAGGAATTCCAACAATAGGAACGTCGATGTTGAGTTGTACTATGCACTCACAGCATTCCCATGGCAGGACGTTTGTTGTTTCTAAGTGTCGCTTCCGACTCAAAGCGACCCTGTATTAGGGTTTCCAAAGAAGGGCTGGTGGGTTTAAACTGCCAACCTTGCGGTTCGCAGTCCACTGTTGGTTGACAGCGTCCATGACATTGGGC